TGTGATCTGTTTCGGGGTGTCATTGATTTGGCATTGAAGGCCATGCAATTGCAATGTGGTGTGGAAAACCGCACAGGATTTGCAGCATTTCCTGTACCGCATTAGTGTGAACCCGGGCTCAGTGTGTAATTTTATCTTCTGATAGCTGTCATAAATAGTTAAAATCTAGTGTATAAAGAGACAAGGCAAATGAATAAACTAGTTTTACTTTATGCTTTCTTTTTTACTGTGAGGCATACATGTAAGAAAAAAAACAAATTGTCATAAAAGGAAAAAAAAAAACACACACACACAAAACAAACTAGATAACAACTTACCTTAACAACTTACCTATAATAGCCTGGTTGTACCATTGTGTCAACATACACTGCATTGTTCAGCTAACCTAAAACAGCTGTATGCAGTTTGGAACAAATGGCTCTAAAGGGTTGGGCTCTATCTCTATTAAAGTGGTTCTAACGGTTCATGTTTTATTTTTTAACATACTTACTTTACAATGGTTTTGCACACAGCAGCCCTGATCTCCTGTTTTTTGGCTCTCCCACTGGCGCTCCTGGCTCCTCCCCCTTGCTACGTACCTCCACAGCAATCCACTTGCTATGGGGCCACTTGTGTGTGCTCACTCCCAAGCAGGCTCTGTGTCCATAAGACACACAGAGCATTGGCTCAGCCCCGCCCCCCACTCCCACCCCACTGGCTGTGATTGACAATAGCTCCTGCTCCTGTGTCTAAATTAAGGAGGAGGGAGAGACCAGGGGCAGCCTCTGATCTTGTGCACATCGCTGGATCGAGATATGCTCAATTCAGTGAATTAAGGTAAAAAACCTTCTGCCTTTAGAAGAACTTTAACCAACAGTTCTATCTGTAGAGTTACCCACAAGGGTATAAAGAAAAGGTTTGCAGGGATCCATCCACTGTTCTAAAATAAATGGATCTGTAATGTACGCACATGGGGAATGCAGATACTGTCTGCTTTAAGAAGGCTCTACTGTGTTTAGTTAATCTGTACAAATGCAAGGAAAAGAAGACAATGACTGCCCCTACAGAGACTGTCTTTCTGGACTAAATCTCGTTTGTCGTCAGTATTTGTCTAGTGTGATATAATATGCCTTGCTTTCTAAACACACAAAAGCTTAATAAAAGGCGACATGAAACAAAAATGGCAACTTAAAACAAACATGTGCTAAACACTTTAAAGAGCTGTCTCTTTCTGATTAATGCCTGTTCTCTTGTGTATCAGTCTGTTGATATTTACTGTGCGTGCCAATCCAGAGTAGGCAATAAAAGTCATTGAGTGAGGAAATACAGGCAGGGAAATTAGTATCTTGTGATGGGTTAGCTGAAGTGTCCATCACCTCCCATAGTTAGCCCTGAGTTTAGCCTTGTTAGAATAGATGTTCTTTTAAAAATGAATGAAGAAAGCATTTACTTCTGCAAAATATCTGATATTTCTTAATAAGCAAACTTTACAGCATTCTCAAGAGTTCTAAAAAAGAAATGCAAGATAATGCTCCGAAATTCAGTACTGAAAGTCCTACCATACAGGACATTTTCTCACGTGTCCACAAAATGTGCAATTCTGTCTAGCCAGTTACCTATTCTGGACATCCCTGTCAGACACTACACAAAGTCCTAGTAGTTTGCTTTTCTCTATTGGCATCAAAGAACTGAGACATCTATGGAAGTACCTGCAAGCCTGGATAATAATGTATGCATATAGCTGCAACGCGCTAGACTCGTACTAATGCAGCAGATCCAATGTCCACATCAGACTGTCAAAAGTCACGCCAATTACATATAGAGCACCCATGCCCCTTCTTTGTTATTTTTTTCAAACATTGTTTCATTCACCATTATGCAAATAGCAATAAGATGATGGCACTTGCAGTAAGAAAATAACAACCTAGATCTTCCACCAGCAGCTGTATAATATCCACAACTTGTTCCACAAACATCCCAGTAATGTTTAGTCAGTTCAGCTAATGCCCCAAATAATTACTAATATGATATAAACTTTTCCATTTATAGAGATGAAATTATGACTTATAGGTATCTAGCACAGGTGTCTCCAAGCTATGGCCCTCCAGGTGTTGAGGAACAGTCCCATGAGGCCTTGCAAGACTGACATCCACAGGCAAGACTCCCAGAGGCAGAGGCATGATGGGACTTGTAGTACTTCAAGAGCTGGAGGGCCATAGTTTGGAGACCCCTGCTCTAGCACAACAATATGATGCATAAATTTAGCAGGATCCTAGTAGTGTATATGGCCAATGTAGCTAAGGTGCCCAATATTTGCTCCTCCTTTGCATGAACTCCTCTATTCCACCAGTTCAAAGTTCCTCCAGCATTCTTACTAGCACATACAGCGACCTCCTCTTCTCTGGCTCTACTGTGTTCCTAGCTTCATTTTCGGTCCACTCTCTGTGCTACATCACTTCTTTTTCCATTCCTAAATTCCGCAGCTATGAGCTTAGCTGGGTTTTTGCCTTTATTAGAAGGTTTCCATTATTCCTTCAAGAAACAGATGGAACACTCTTCTGCTTGTATAGCAACATTTAAAATTTTAAGCGGTATTAAATCCAAAACCAGAAATGTAACATGTTGCAGCTTATCAATCTTTAGACGTGGTGGCAACATTAGTTTTCTTTATCTAAGGCATTATTCCCTCTGTTTTCACCTAGTGATCTGGTCAGTAACACACCTCTTGTATTAGAGTGCCTACACTCTGGGTGAAGGAGCAACAGAGACACCTTTGGGCACCAGCATTATTAATCTAATTGCTAAGCCAAACTCCAGAAATAGTTTTTTTTCTTTTGGGATAAAGGTTTTACATAAATAAACGCTTACCATTGTAAGCACCCCATCAGTGTTAAATGATTTGACACAACCCTCTAACTGCTACATCTGTAGGACAGCTTGTTCTGTGGAAAAACAACAGATTTACTGGCCAGATCACCAGGTTAAAAAAAGGAAAGAAAGCCTAAAAAAGAAACTAATGCAGCAACCATATCTAAGAATTGGTAAGCTGTAGCATAATACATATTTTATTTTGGGTTTAATACTGCTATAATTAAAACAAAATACTACCCACAAAAGACAGAACATGAATAAGAAAGTCTCCCAACTGATAGATAACTGCTTAATGCTGGCACTCTCCATAGCAACCAATCAGTTAAGTGTTGAAAAAGCCACTATCCAACTCCCACAGTCCTAATCCTTAGTGCATTCGGTCCAAGGTGAGGTCCTGCCAAGACCCTGTTTTCAGTGTAAAGCAGGGACTCTGGATCTTTAATCAGGGCAGAAGACCTTTTAGTCAACTATGTAGTTTTTCACAAAAAATCTTGAAATTCATTATTTTGTGAACCTCACATTCTTGAGATGGATCAGCTGAGGAATTAGCTAGAAATGAAGGAAGAAGGAATATATTTAGGACCAGAGGTTTGAGCAGTGGATCATGAACAAAATGTGGTAGCCTGAAATGCAGAGGTAGACAAAGTTTGTAGCTGACTGGAATAATCTTTGAAGTGATTTCATAAGTCCCTATATAAAGCAGGCAAACTTCATAATGGGAACCCTTAGACAAATGTTTTTCCCTGGTTGGAGAATCAGACCTCTTCAATGGTGCTGATCTGCAAATTTGTGTGGGGTGCAGAAAGATGGAGTTTAAAGACTGAGCCCAAAATAGGGTAAAGTCTTTCTGCATAACACAGAATGCATGAATCTGTAAACAAGATTATTGCAAAGAAAGACAAGGGTGCTTGCCACAGACTATGGCAAATGGTGACTCCTTGAGACCTGTGTTAAGATGACTATTTTGAGCAAATTCTCTCCAAGGCAGGAGGGCAACCGAATCACTATGATGGACTGACATCAGGGCACGAAGGTATTGTTCAAATATTGATTAATCCTATAATTTTGACCATTGGTCTGTGGATGATATACTAAGGAAAACTGCAAAAAGAAATACAGAAATGTAAGATGCCTATACACTATTTGAAATTTGGCCAGTTCATCATGGGCTGACTGAATTCCAACTGTTGTGTGACCATCCCTGCTTGACAAATTTCATTCTGTCAGATTGATGCCTGTCGCTGGGACATGCTGGAAAACATTTCTGCGAATAAAGGTTTTTTAGGGATTATCAGAAATGCATTCAATCATGGTCATGGTGGAATGACAGAAGGGCCAACAGGTGAGTAACATAAGAAGACCAATCCAGCACTGGTGAGTGTAGTTGGAGCAAGGAAAGCCGAGATTAAGCACATGTTTGTGGCAGAACACAGAAAGAGAAATCAAATCAAGGAAGTCTTCCATGGTGACAGTGAACTTCAGAGAAGCAGCTGCACAGGGAACAATTGGGAAGCGTGAAGGATGCCCCCTTCAGGCATACGGACATTGATTAATAAAGTGCCCTGTTTATGCACAATAAATACAAAGGACTTGAGAATGATATTGGTACCTTTCTTCATGGGATATTTCATAGGAATCTTTCAAGGTGGTGAAGCAGATAATGTGGGTGGTTCAAGGTGGCGCTGAAAGGAGAAAAACTCTTTTGGAGGCAAGATCTCTCTAGGAAGTGCTTTTGAAACTGAATGTCAATTTGTATCACAAGAGAGACCAGGTCATAGAGGGTAGTGGGATTTTGCATCTAGTCAGTTCATCTTTGTTCGCTCATTTTTTCACACAGGTTTAGCTGAGAGCATTTAGAACTGACTTGCATATTGTTCTACTGTAAGTGAACCTTGGCAGAGATACAGGGTAATGCCGAAGAGGATCCTCAAGCAGGCTCATCTAAAATTCTTTTGAAGAGAGCCAAGAAAGCAGCAATATTGATGTTCACAGAGCTGCTTCTTTTCCAAAACAGGAACACCCAGGACAATGTTTCTCAGAGAGTACATACACTATATTGCCAAAAGTATTGGGACACCCCTCCAAATCACTGGATTCAGGTGTTCCAATCACCTCCATGGTCACAGGTATATAAAATCCAGAACCTAGGCATGCAGACTGCTTCTACAAACATTTGTGAAAGTATGGGTTGCTCTCAGGAGCTCAGTGAATTGAAGTGTGGTACCGTGATAGGTTGCCACCTGTGCAATAAGTCCATCCATGAAATTTCCTTGCTACTAATACTCCATGGTCAACTGTTAGTGGTATTATAACAAAGTGGAAGCAACTGGGAACAACAGCAACTCAGCCACCAAATGGTAGGCCATGTAAATTGACAGAGCGGGGTCAGCGCATGCTGAAGCGCACACTGCGCAGAAGTATCCAACTTTCTGAAGACTCAATAGCTAAAGGCCTCCAAACTTCGTGTGACCTTCAGATTAGCACAACAACAGTGTGTAGAGAGCTTTCCAAATGCAATGCAAAGCATTGGATGCAGTGGTGTTTAGCATGCCGCCACTGGACTCTAGAGCAGTTGAGGTGTGTTCTCTGGAGTGACCAATCACGCTTCTCTGTTTGGCAATCTGATGGACTTGTCTGGGTTTGGCAATAGCCAGGAAAACGGTACTTGCCCGACTGCATTGTGCTAGGTGGAAAAGTTTGGTGGAGGGGGGAATTATGGTTTGGGGTTGTTTTTCAGGGGTTGGGCTTGCCCCTTTAGCTCCAATGAAGGGAACTCAAAAGCATACCAAGACATTTTGGACAATTTCATACTCCCAACCTTGTGGGAACAGTTCGGGGATGGCCCCTTCCTGTTCCAACATGACTGCAAACCAGTGCACAAAGCAAGATCCATAAAGACATAGATGAGCGAGTTTCGGGTGTGGGAACTTTACTGGCCTGCACAGAGTCCTGACCTCAACCGGATAGAACACCTTTGGGATGAGTTAGAGTGGAGACTGCGAGCCAGGACTTCTCGTCTGACACCAGTGCCTGACCTCACAAATGCGCTTCTGGAAGAATGGTCGAACATTCCCATTGATACACTCCTAAACCTTGTGGACAGCACTTCCAGAAGAGTTGAAGCTGTTATAGCTGCAATGGGTGGGCCAACTCAATATTGAACCCTACGGACTAAGACTGGGATGCCATTAAAGTTAATGTGCGAGTAAAGGCAGGAGTCCCAATACCTCTGGCAATATAATGTAGGTTAAATTAAAGCAGTCTGTAGGAAAGGTCTGGGACTGTAGCTCAAATTGAACACTGATTGATAAACCAGTGGCATCTCTTGGGATCCATGGAAAAGCATGTAGGAGGCTGCAAGTTAGGAGCAGGGGTAACAGGTGTGACAGATATGGCACTGGAGTGGGCTGTGATTGAGCTGGAGGTTCAGCAGCTGGTGTGAGGGAGGCCTGTAGTTGATCTAAGCAAATCATGGAGATGTCGGATCATCTGGACTTGCCTGGACTCCTGGGCACAGAATCATTGAGAGAAAAGTTTGTAAGGTTCAGTAGGTGATTGAAATACTTCAGATGGATCCATGGATTGAGCAAACTGTAGCAAACAGTGGTTCATATTCCTTGTGAGGGGGAATAACTGGATAATACAGAAGCATATATGTGGCTGCATATCAGACACACAGGTGACACTGAACACACTGGAGTCACCAGAAAACTAGAAGCTTACCTGGAGCCACTGGGGTGGATTTACTAAAAGCAATTAGACTCTGCACACTAAGTGCAGTTGCACTCTACAATAGCAGTTGCACTCATTTTCCTTTATTTTGTTTATTAAGTGTGACGGTCGCGGCCAGGGGCGGACTGAGAACTCATGGGGCCCCCGGGCAATAGGGGATCATGGGGCCCCTGTGTCCTTCCCCAAACTCAAAAAAACCTATGAAAAAGGTAGCAGAGGCATCTCATGGGGCCCCCTACTGACCCCGGGACCCTCGGGCAGTGCCCGAGTTTTCAAATGGTCCGTCCACCCCTGGTCACGGCGTCAGACGCCCAGCTCTTCTCACCAACTCGTGACCGAAGGACTAGCCAATCTAAAACCGCGCTGTCACGTGCGTAACAATGCCATGCTCAGCTGCACCCTGCACAAAGATTTGCCAGCTAATGGACCACAATCTATGAACCTGTAGCCTGAAAGCGATTGCTACTGGGTCAGGATTAATTACGCAATTAACCCTTCACACTGCCACCACTGCCTTTTTGTACAGAGAAGGAGGAAACTCGCCAATATTAGCAATAACACTATGATGTTTGATTAATCATCTGTATACACACTGTCACCGCAGGCAGATGCATACAGAGGTTTAAAAACACACAGTAGCGCTCTTCAGAGACAGGGATTCTTAGTTTGCATTAAAGAGCTTTAGAAACAGTTCAACGCTTTTCAGATAATAGGATTTATTACTAAAAAGGTCAAAAGGGTGAAATAAAAATATTTACAGAAAAAGATGTAGCCAATATATATATATATAAATACAGAGAGCAATACCACAACAGAGAGATATCAGAAAGAAGTTTAGAGAGGTAGAATACTTGCCGTTAGCCTTGGTTTAAGCAACGTTCAAGTGTCAGAGCAAAAGCGTGCCTTTTCTCCCAAAGTTGGTTCCTGATGTTAAAAAGGGTGATCTCTTCAACTTACTGCTCCAAGCATAACAGCTCTTTTCTACGTCGGGGACCCAGCAGGGTGTCTCCTAGTAACAGCAGAGAACCAATTTCGCCTACATATTGTCCCTAGTGCTTTGTCCTGCGCCCTGCCTGCATTTTGTCTGTTCTTTCTGCCTGGAAACTGAGAAATGTCCATGGCGTCCCAAAAGTGTCCCTTTAGGTCAAAAGGGTTTAGATTTAGAGAACAGCGGGAAACTCAGGCTATGACCAAATCCCTCCAGCATACATACAGACCACATTCCTGAGGGAGGGGGATTGGAGGGAGAGAGATTAGAATGATACAAGATGGAGGATCCTTAGCAAGATGGATGACCGCGTCCATTGCTGCACGTAAAAAAAAAATGCTACACAAAAAAATGGCTCTTTCAGCACCAAAAATCTGAAAAATTATACCGCCAGAGTGTCAGAGCAAAAGCGTGCCTTTTCTCCCAAAGTTGGTTCCTGATGTTAAAAAGGGTGATCTCTTCAACTACTGCTCCAAGCATAACAGCCTTTTTTAGGAACCCAGCAAGGGTGCACACCAATTTATTTGTAATCAGTAAATGCACCCCATTCCTGGGTACACTGGAGCCACTAGACAACACTTGAGTGCACTTGAAACCACTGGGCACAATAAGGGTAATCATAAATGGGGTTGATGTACTAAAGGCACTTGAAACAGACAATAAGGGAATGCACTTTGCAGACTATGCACTTTGCAGTTGCTCCAGACGTTTGTGAACTGACTCCCATCATTCAATCATGTGCAAGCCAAAATGCCATTTTTTTTATTTTTCTTGCTTGCATGTGATTGGGTATTCTTTGTAAAGTGTAGGTTTACGTCATTTACAAAGCTCTGGAGCAACTGCACTTTAGTGTACAAACCCCATAGTGCCTCCTGAGTGGTCATGGGTGAAACATGGAAATGTATGCGGCTTCACAGAAAAGAGAGACCCAGGACTGTATCCCAGGAGATGTGAGTGTGACAATAAAAATTACTAACTGCGGATCTCCAGTATATAGACCTATTTCTGAAAAGTATAAGGCTTTCACTGGCACTTTATTGAATATACAATGTTTTCTTCTTCTTTTCATTGCATGGAACCGTAATCCAATTATTACACCTTATTTCATCTTTTGTCTCATCTTAGTGATGTGGATCTCATGCAGTTGCTTTTGGGCCACTTCCTGTCTACATGCAATCTAGTGATCACTACATGGCATTTCTTAGAGCATTTTCCTGATGGTGACAGTATGCTTTCATAGTGCACAGTTTCTTGTAGTCTCCATCAAAAGCTTGTTAGACAGGGTGACAATGCAGGAACACAATTCGAAAAATGGATAGAGCATTGCCACTCTATAAGAGAAGGTGACTTAAAAAGCATTATTTTAATTAAAGCTGCAGATAAAAAAATATTGAAAAATTACTTTTGAAACTAAACTGGGTTTACACTAAGCATTTCTTTTTTTTTTTTTGTAGTAAACCGTTTTATTGCATACTTCAGCAAGACAAGACAGAAAAAAAAGTGCAATATATCCAAACACGGAATAATATCCAGTTTCACTAGTCAGACACAACAGTATCCCAGCATAATAGCAAATATAGAACAGTAAATAAAGATAATACTTATACAGCATGTAAGAAAGCAGTGGTAACTGGACCAGAGTTCACCACCCATCTGGGTGAGACCCCAGACATATAGAAACATTATCGCTATGAGTTATGTAGACATACAATTACAACACCTATCCAGTAGAGTCTTGCTATCGTACTTAAAGTTTTCTAGAATAAGACTTAGAAAAAGAGAGATCCCGAGTAAGAACACCATTCGGTAGCCCAGTCATGGAACACCAGTCCATTAGCTGGCTATGGGCCACTTAATCTATAACCTAAAGTATATGAACAGATCTTAGTCCGTGAAGAGTAGACTGCAGGAAAGAGAGAGAAAGAAGGGGAGAGAAAAGGAAGAGAAAAAGAGGGAGGGAGGACAGAAAGAAAAAAAAAGAGTGGGGTGGTGGGGTTGTAGGGAGTACCCCCGCCGAGAGTGTATAGGGGGAGGTGGGTGGTAGAGTAAACAAGCATAATAGCAATTCAGCTGGGACACTGAGGGACGGATTGGCAGAGCCAAATCAATGTAATTCCTCTGGCAACAATACTTATACTCCATCTTTATTGAAGTACTCTAAAGAACAGAAGAGGATATATAGGTGTTGTATTCGCTGGAGTATTGGAAGTTATGCTAATAGTACCATGTTTTGTGGTATTGTTCCTCCTTCCTTCTCATAGCTGCCATTAGACCTTCCATATCAGCAATCTCATTCACCACAGCAATCCACTGGCGCACTGTCGGGGGTTTGTGCATTTCCATTATTGCAGAATGCAGATTTTTGCTGCATTCAGTAAATGTATCAAAAGTGATTTCTTATATCGACATAGAGAAAGCAGTTAGATGAAGTAGACATGTTTCTGGCTTGTCTTCCAAGCATATATCAGTCAACTTATAAATCAATTCTCAAATCGAGTCCCAAGAGGGGTGAATACTTGGACAAGTCCATAAAATATGTAGCATGGTACCTTCTTCATGGTACCAGCGCCAACACATTGGTGTAATTGCGGGATAGATCCTATGCAAAATAGAAGGTACCCTGTACCAATGCGTTATTACTTTATACCCTGATTCCTGAAGTCTACTGGTTAAAGAGGAGCGGTGGGCAAAGTATAGGATACGATCTCGCTGCTTATCCGTAAATGTCAAGCCTAGGTCCTGTTTCTATTTGCTTATATATGGAGGCACATAGCTTTCAGGTGGAATATACAAAACAGC